ACTTTTAAAGCAACCCAACGGAAGTTTCATGTAAGTTTAGCTCTTTCACTCGTAGGTCGGGCTGCGGGGGTGCTAGAGACGGGAGCACGTTGATGCGACCTTCCTAGCCGGAGATATGGCCGCATTTTACAATAAACTTCCGTAGGGTCGCTTAAAAACAAATATCGCAAATCGAATCGCAATCGCAATATTTGTCATAAAAATCGCAATTAGATTTTTTTCCCAAGATCGTGCAGCCCTAACACACACACATCGAACGGCCCGATTATTCCCCCTATTACTCGTTGTATGAAGGAAATGTCCGGTCACAAAGGCGCATGATGTGTGTGTGTGTATGTGCTCTGCTCAGCTCTGCTGTGTGTGTGTATGTTCGGTGTGTTTGTGTGTGTCCAACAAAGGCATTTGTTTTGAAATTACCATGAACAGTAATTTGCACACATCTGGCCAACTCCATAGTTATGTTGGTGTTCCCAAAATAAGTTAGTTTAATCTTAATCTCGATGTAGTGCAAAATGCTGTCGGAGTGCACCGGAACGAACGCCCCGGTATGACGTTATTATGGCTGGCTAACAAGCCCAGGGGTCTCACTGACATTTCAGTTATATCAATATGTGTACAGTGGTCCTAATTTNTCCTTATCTTATTTCACATCTTGCAGCCAGCACACACACATCCCCCTTTATGGCTCTTTGTCTCTGTGGCCATCTTCCCCCCACTCAGGTTACCACACACAGTTAAAAATATGTTTTAAGATATAGTTGTTATAGTTGGCTACATATACGTAATACATGTAAATTACTTCATATTAGGGCCGGGACTCGATTAAAAAAATTAATCTAATTAATTACAGGCTTTGTAATTAATTAATCGCAATTAATCGCATTTTTAATCACATATAAATATTTGACCTGAGAACAGTGAGAAGCAATTTTTTTCACATGGATTTTAGTATACCATTGAATAATGACTGAATACATAAGCTTAAGCAACAAAACATTGTTTATTTTTTTCAAGGTGGTACTTAACCAAGACCAACAGAAAAGTGCAATTTTTGCCATAAAGTGTAGCAATAGCATATTTAGGAATATAGTACATTTCAGAGATTCAGCTAGCCTATAGGTAGGTAGACCTTCTGTAAACTATAACACTTTGTTTTTTAAGTAAAACACAATACTTTCAAGTACATTCAGAACATTGGAAACCCTGACTATTAGAAAACATCTCTCTGTTGCTTCAGAGGCCATAACAGACTTTGTTGATTTACCAACAGTTGATTTAAAAAATCTAATACATTTCAGTCCAACTCTCTCAATAACCTTGGCCAAAACAATAAACAGTTCAACATAAAGTGCCAGTTGCACCAACAACGTAATAAATAGTTCAACATAAAGTGTACCATTTAAAATAAAATAAAAAAGTGCCAGTGATTGACCTCAATCCCTCCTATTCTTCCAATATCCTGATGAAAAATAAAATCTCTCTGTTGCATAGGCCACTGTTTGATCAACGCGAATTGGGTGTGGGTCCTTGTACTCCGAGTCAGGCTAACGTCCACGCTAGCTTCCACGCTAGCTGCTATATGTTTTGCATTGAGGTGATACTTGAGGCTTGATGTGCTGCGGTGATATGCGAATTCCTTTTTGCATAATTTGCAAACAACCGTGCTCTTATCGANGGACCATCTGGTTAAATAAAGTTTTTTTTATTTTTTTAATTCGGTATATTTTGTCAGTCTCACGACGGTATTGAGACATCCATTTACCGCGATATCGCGATATTCGATATATCGTTACATCCCTAGTAATTCCTGTTAAGACCTTTTTTAAAGACCCTTTCCATACATTTTAAGACCTCATCGCCACTTGGAGTTTTAACCGGTTACCTTGGCGACACACTTTACCTCACATTGACTATATACAGTATTGATTGTCCTTCCTCCTTATCTTCCAACCATTTGGACGCAAACTTGCATTTCCCCATAACGATGTTGCTTAGCAACCGGCGTAAACGGACCTTCGCGCGCTATCAAGCAGTGAGCGTGCGATGTCTTGTTCAGATGACGTCCAATCCAACGGGATGCCATAAATAAACTACACAGAATCACACTACACACCTACGCAATGATTACATTCAGGAAGACTGTAGAATACAACCTCTTTGGACAATTTATATACTTATTGAAAACAAGTTACACAATATAATACCTTGGGAAATGCCGTTTATACTTTTGAATAGCCCTAATTTTCGCTAAATTGATTTATCAACTTGTAATACTTTTTAAGACCCCGCGGACCCCCTGTGCATTCACATCTTTACATTTTGTGTTCTAGTTGTACCTCAACCATGACAGAAAATCTTGGATAATAAGACCTAATTTATGTTATACACATTTATTTGAACACTTAAAAAGGATTTTGAGTTACCTTGGTGGGCACTCACGTGTTCCTGATCGCCTCCTTTGCAAGTAGACACTACTAAAGCCAACATCTCTAACTCACATGCATATTGAAATGCTTTGTAGCAGACGCATTGGTAAAAAACAAACACTCACTGCGTCTCGGACATCTTGTCCAGCAGGTTCTCGGCCACAGACCTCTCCTTCATCTCTCTGGGGATGCGGTTGGTGGAGTTGTGGCTCTCCACGTCGCTGAGATCAGCCTCGCTGGGCGTCATACCCATCATCCTCTTCTGCCTGTGCACGACACAGCAACCAGGGGCAACAGTTTGGTAGGATTCATATTCAAAACAAAGAATGAATGCAGTATACTAACTAAGGTTTTCCCAATTCTGTGAGCAAGGAGCAGACTCAGAATACAGATGACGAGGGCTGCTCAGTGTGTTTCTGTGCCTATGGCTATTCATCAATAGAGAACTTTTTTAATTAACGACAAGATGCTAATTCTCATGTTCCTTTCCGTGATGCTTCCTATGGTGTGCTCAAGCTCACTCTGAAAGTCCCATATCAATTATCTTATGCACATTTTAATTTTGGATGTTTCATTTCATTTTGATCAACAAGAACTGAAGCTAATTGCTATCTTGAAATGAAACTATAATGGTGAGTTGTCGTTAAATGGTCAATCTATGTAAAATAACTTATTTAAATCGACTGTGTGTCTGCAAACCATACATTATTGCTCTATTGACACAGGAAACCACTGTTAAGATGCCAAAATAGGTGTTCAATATGAAAGAAAATCAATGCTGAGATCCGAATCAATGCTAAACCTTAATTTAATGAATTTTGTGAATTTATTAGAACATGCAAAAACATATAATCTGAATAATCCAGCTATAACTACAAAGTGGTGGTCAAATAACTTGCCTCAAATACAGCGACCCTCTCCCCCTCTCTCCCACATACAGCAGGTGATTGTATTCACTCTGAGTGTTGCCCATACTCATTAGATGCAACTAATCCATCTGACATGTGTGCCTCCTACAGGCGTAATGTGATAACATGGTTTTGAAATAGGTAAGAAACCAGCTGCAGCGTTTTGTTTAAATTGGAAGCAATGGTGAGGCTTTTTGGTACAGACATACTGTGTGTAGAGGGTGATGCAATAGTTATAAGATTACAGCTGACTAGTTATTGGAGTTTGGGATGAGGATTCTTCTCACCTGAAATCTTCCAGCTGCTTGGCCACTTCAGCCGCCTGCAGGCTCTGAACCTCCTGAACGTAACGCCTCTGGGTGTCCTCGTGGAGCAGATCTGCACGGGTCCGTTCTTAGGGAGAAGGAGGATTGAATATTAGGAGTGTGTATCTGGGGCTGAGGTGTGTGTGCATAGAAATTCATATATCATATTCCAATTACTTGTATATAGACTCTTCTTGCACCATTTCTATTCTATTGTATTTGTATTTACTTATTTATTTTGTTGGAGACATTTTGTGGCCTAAGATTTTCATTGACATATCTACACTGTAGCTTTGCACACGTCACAATAAAAGCCTTGAATCTTGAATTCTGACAAAGAAAATAACTTACCCAATTCATGGGCTACATTTGGTGGAAGTGCCACTCGGAGAATCTATATCGTGGAGGGAAAGACAAAACAGGTGCACGGACGTGAATCATTAGTTTATATAATACGGTAAATATGAGATTATATATGAAATATTTATAAGAAGACTGAATATTTTGTACAATGTGATTCTTCCTTAGTTTATTAGGTACACCTAGATAACATGTATGCAATCTAATACAGCCGTCCTCCAAAAAAGGTTATAATGTTCAGTTGTTGTGTTATTTTGTCTATCCCATTCAAATCAATAAAAGGTTGGCTAAATAAAAAAAAACCTGTATAATGCAATACAGGTGAACAGGGACACATATTAAAGCCTCTGAAACAACCATGAAGTTGAATTAAAACCTCTTTGTACCAAATTCAGTTTACGAAACTAGGAATACCTAACAAGTGGCACGAGTGCAGGAATGTACATGTATAATGGGTTCTTTGTTATGTGTGGCCCAAAGCAATGCTGTGTAGTATATTCTGATGTGTGCAGTAGCTACATATCACCACAAGGGGGCATTTAAACACCAGAAATAAACCAACAACTACAGGGAAACAACCGTCCACATATGAGAGACTGAGCTGTGTCACTGACATGCAAATAACCAAACGGGTCAAGTTTAAGTCAATGGGTTTAACAAAGATGAAGGATCACAATAAAAGGGGCTTTCCCACGATCCTGACAGGAAGCTGAGGGGTTAGGGTGAAATACAAACAGAAAGGGAGTGAGAGCAGCACAAACCAGCTGGGTTGACAGACATGTGCAGAGCAGGAAATATAACAGAGAAGTGACAGAGGCCAGTTGTGCAGGGAGAAGTAATGGAAAGTGACATAGAAATGGAAATGAGTTTAAAGACACAGCCGTGAGCTCACAATCAAAACATGAGCACACAATGTCTCTCCTGAGTTTAACGTATAGACTTCAGCTGTGTGGTATATCAGATTCCCATCGATGCAACACAATGAGAAAAAAGTCTAATATCTGTGTTGCTGTGTTTATCGGAGTAGATTTTGATATAATACGCACCAAACACTGAAAGAGAAAGACTTGGCCATTAACCCACACAAATCTTTGAAGCTGAGAACCAGGAAAACAAAAAGAAGATTTAAGTCTGCCGGTACAGGACTATGATGGAGACGTTTCAAACCATGATGCAAACATGAGTTTATTTACATCAGTATATACATATTTGTATACATATTTTTATATATATTTGTATTTAGGATTGTGGGAAAGGGTATTCCGATCTCTCTGTCTGTACACACAAACTGAAAGATTGACAATAAAGTTGACTTTGAATTTCAGAACAAACTCACAAGTCATTTCTTATTCTGTTGTTATTTTAACATACATTAGTGCTGCTCAAATGTAAGCTAACATGTTTCAGCTCACCATGAGAAATGAA